AATATTAATGAGAATAAGTAAAAACGTAAAGGGAAAAAATTGTGAACCATTGTCTGAAAAAGAATAGTTTTTAGCTTTTTCGACCTCGTCTCAGTATTTCGCGATTTTCTCCACGAAGAAAAAGATTTTTGAAGTTCGGAATGTGTTATTCGGAATCAGCGTTCAAAGACGAACCAGAATATGTATTAAAATCGAAAAAATAAAATTCACTTGAATTTTGATCTAGCTGAACCTTAGTGAAATAACCCACACCACTTACAGTATTTTCAGTTTTTGAGGCCAGATTACGTCTCATAGTTTCGAGAAACATCTCATTTGAAAGAGCATGTAAAGCTGTATCAATTGATGTATTTGGTCTTCACATAAAATTGGTATATGATTTTAAAAATTAATTTAATGAATTAAAAATAATTTTCAGCTTATTGTCGTTTATTTTTACAACAACGCTAGAAAAAGCTCATTTAAATTTGTTTAAAGAAGTTTAAAGAAAGGAAAAGATGTGACATGTACAACGTTTAAAAGAGTTATTGGTTCTTACATTTTAGAATCGTGTTACTAACCATTCATTGTAAATATTTGATATGATATATATGTAAAAAGATTGTGAACATTGATTAATACTTGTTCTATATCAATAAGTTTTTTTTGTTGAAATAGGAACTAAGTTCAGTGTCAACTGCTGCAGTAGTAGGAACTAATGTTGTATTGATAAATGTACGAAATGCTCAAAAATATCAGCACTCAGGCGAAAGACGTCTTACAAGATTTTATAAAATCTCACTTGTTTAAAATTAGTTAGTTTAGAAGATTATTAGAGTTTAAAAGTAATTCTGGAAAGTTAAAAGTTGACAGCTTTCAGTTGACAGCTTTCAACAACGAGTTGATTTATAAATCGGATTGAGATTCATAAAAAATCGTTTTTGCATTGTATGATATAGAGTAAGAAATATAAAGCCGAACCTGCTTTTTTTTTTGCACAACGAGTATAATAAAGTATGCGAAGAGGGAAAAGAAAATGTACAGAAACGAAGATTGTGTAACATGTGCCTTATACAAGAAAAGAAAAGAGAAGATAGTCATTTTGCCCCCGAAAACTGAGTGCCTTCGAAGAAGAATTCAGCAGTGCACGAAATAACAACAGTAATTGATTCACTACTGTTATTTCTTGCACTGCTGAATCACTGTGATTCATCAAAACTTGGAAGAAATCGTGATTACATTTGGGAGCATTTTACAGATGATCGATAAGCAAAACCAGGCGCTTATAGAAAATGCAGTTGCAAGTATTGTTCGAGTCAGTTTAATTACGCCAAAATTATCCTGATGTATCGGCCTATTGCACATGAATGTCAAGCCATTTTAGAAGACAAGTCTGTAAAGAGTTTATTCGATGATGCTTTCGATGTTGAAATCGTCATTGTTACGGTCATCATGTGGGTAACAATGACGATTACAACATCGATGATATTCTCGATCCTCTATTTGTTGAACGAACTTAGCCTTCCTTTTCTTCTTGTTTGGTGTGTATTTTTATGCAGAAACAATATAGTTCTGTTGCAAGCTGGGTTATATAAAAGGTTGACTGAATAAAAAAGCTGCAATCTGCCTATGTTCACGTATAATCTCGACCCGATTTATAAATCTCAACCCGGGTTAAACGTCTTAACTCGAACTATTTATAACTATTTTAAATTTCTTAGTAAAAGTTAAAATAGCTTTAAACTCTTCGGTGTAAAATATGATCAGATGTGATGATTTACTATGCTTGCTACAAGATTTTTCGGCAAGACCTTGTAAGATGTTATCTCAGGATCATTTATGATCTTGCGGAACTTTGTAACTTCTTATGTAAGCAAGATCTTGCCAGTAAGAGTGTTTATTTATATTTAGTTCTTATCTCAAGATCATATGATTTCTTCTTATAAGATCTTAAAAGTCTTACCTTAGTGATGATTCATTACCACATCAATTTTGCTACAATATATAACGGGTAACCCATAAAAAACGAGTCAGAATCTTTTTCTGTTTTAGAAATACTTAAAAGCAGTTTTAAGTTTTGATCTAAACTCATTCGATAGAGAATTCACTGCTCTACAAAACTGTCGATTCAGTTTTCAAAAAGATTCTTCTTCTCGCCATAAGATCCTGAACTTTCAGTCATGCTTAATGTACTAACTGTGGCACTCGAAAAAAGAAATAATGATTAAAACTCCTTTTAACAGCCGTACCACTTTAATTCTAAATGCGCTAAAAAATTCTCCGTAAAACTAAAAATACCATCAAGTCTGGGTTCTAAGCCTTTTTCTCCCGCACTACAACATTCGGAACCTTTAAGATGACATAGAACGATAGAGCAAGGTATTCTCTTCCTTTAGGTGTTAGATACTTTGCTTAGAAGACGGAATTAATAAAATTAATGTTTAGAAGTTGAAAAAGAAGTGTGCAGAAAACAGTAGATCGCAGCTGAAACATTGAACATGTCTGAAAGTTCAAAATCTTACGGCGAGAAGAATCTTCTTGAAAAACTAAATCGACAATTTTTTAGAGCAGCGACTTCTCTATCGAATGAGTTTAGATCAAAATCTTAGAACTGCTTTTAAGTATGTTAAAAAAAAGGAAAAGATTTAGACTCGTTTATTACGGGACAGCCGTTCGTATATATATATATATATAATATAGTTTTTATGCCAAAATATAGAATATTTTACTTCCTTCAACTTCACATATCAGCTGAGCACAAATAAAGTGTATGGCTGTAAGAAACATGGATAGACACGTTCTTAAGGACTATGGAGTCGTTCCTGTACTCGAAAAGGTTATGAAAAGAAAAACCATATGAAAACTACCAGATATCGCAGTTCCATTAAAGATTTTTCATTAAAAAACTTTTATTAATACAAAGTTCATTAACATCCATGGACGATTTCGTCTCTACATACTGTGCACTACGAAACCAATTAATCCACTAAATACAATGGCCGGGGCCAGACTGGTCTGGTTGCCCTAGCAATGTGGTCCGGTCATTGAATTTTCTGAATTAATTGATAAAGAAGGCCTGTTATATATTTTAAAGTATCATTAGAAAATTAGATATTTTTTTGCGCGCTAGGTGCAAAATGTTTCGGTGAATCCGACAGCGGGTTCCTTGTCAACGAGAAAAATAAAAATTTGGCAAAAGCCACATAGATTATGTTGACGCCAGAAAAGAAGTCAAAAAAAATAGACTTAAAAGGAACTTGGTGTCGGATTCATCCGAAAAATTTTGCACCTAGTGCCCAATTTTTATCTAATTTGGTGAAGCGCGCAAAAGTACCTAATTTTCTGATGTGCAGTGGCGGCCAAAATTATTTGTACGATCAGTGTGTGGTCATAATTCTGTGACCAAGGTGTTTTTTTAAAATTGTGACTATCAGTAGATTGTCGTTAGCTTCACTATGTTAAAATTTGTCAATCACTAGGCCTTTTGCATCTAGATCTATGGCTATAACATTAGAGAGGCCTATATATTTTTGGCCAAAATTATTTGTACGTTTGATAAAAATTTCTTCTATGCTGTATAAGCACTGACAAAATATGAAAACTACATAAATAGATAGAAGAAAGTGCTGGCTAAATTTTGGTAAAAAGGTAATTTTGAATCTTTTTCTAAGTGAGAGAATTTGACCTATCTTTTAATATTTTGGATCTTAGGGCTATTTTTGAAATATCTTTTGTGCATATTTTTCTGAATATTTTTTGGGTTTCTTTGCGTTATCGTGTAGTCAAGTGGTTACTGTATAGAAGTATGAAAAGAGAAACTTAGACCTTTTAAGCAGAGGGAAACCGGTTTAATTCCTTTTTCTATATATCTTTGAGCTGACAATGAACATTTAGGGCTTCTCCTGTAAAATCTATAACTTTGCAAAGAAAGGTCGTGTAGAGCTGGGAGATGTCTCGTTTTTATCAGAATTTCACAGGCTACAATTGTGTCTCATTAAGGAAGGTTTTGGTTACTTTTTAGAGTTTCTGAAAAACCGGTTATCCCTCTCTGAACTTAAAAAGTCTAAGTTTCTCTTCTTCTTCAATTTTCTAATTCATAGTGGGTGGCGCCACTATTCGTGCCAAAATGCGAAAAGTGATTTGAATCAAGAGATACTTTGCTGACCGTCGATTCATATAATAAACTGCTCAGGAAAAAATTTTGAACCGATTCTGTCCTCCGTATAAAAAGCGCTAATGTATTCTTCTGCTTTTATCTGTATTTTAGATTTTCAAATTAATTCTGATATAAAGAGAATATGCTATTCGAAATTAAATTACATAGAAAATAAATAAATAATAACCACCCTCCTTGTTTCTAACGTGGATCGTGTTAGTTTTCAGAAGACAATCATGAAGTGTAACAGTTCTTAGTTTTCTCTAGCGCTTAAATCACCCTAAACATTCGAAATATATTTTGATACTATTTACTTTTCTTTGCAATGCGATGTTAAGCAAACAAATTCATACTTCATAATCTTAAAAGTATATGCTAAATTTTTTCTTAAAAAGTTAAAAATTACCAAGTGGATTATAATAAACTTACAGTAAGTTTTTTTCTGAGTCAGCTGCCTATTCAGACTGACTTTAACGTTTAAGAAGACACACTATTGATTAAGCAGTTCTGTGGTGAATGGAAGTGATTTTATAAATCTGGTCGATGAACCTATGGAGGACGCAAAAAAGCTGCTACTTGCCATAGCCAAAGAAAAATGTTAGAATTGTTTAGAGTTCTAGTTCGAAAACTGACGCAGGTTTCAGTAACAAAGACAAAGTTCTCATCGTGTTTAAAATCTGGTCTCGTCGACCACGCTACTTATCCCGCTGAAAGTATTAAATATGTAGACAAATCCTGTCGTCATCTGATCGGAACCTTTGTACGTAAATCTAAGTTCGGAACCTTTGTACGTAATCTAGAAAGTTCTAGTGAAACATGTATATTAAGATAAACACGTTGTATCGCCGTCAAGAACAACGGACATTACTATTTACGATTGGTTTATTTTTTAAAGAATATATAACATCACTCTTTCGGGTTATGGCGTCATTTTCTAGAAGAGATTTCCCGTTGAAGAAAAAGGAAATATCAATATATAGTTGTTTCTACTGCTGCAGCTGTTTAAAAAATAACCGCGAAGGGTCGAAATACCACTAACAAACTGATTAAAAGTGAGTGCACTTATCACATAGTGAAGCAGAATTTCGACAGGTAATGAAATATTTGTCTAATTTCCATTATCCTTATTACTTTAGGATAACAAGATGGGTAACAAACGATGTAATTATAAGAAAGAAAATTTGAAAAAAGCGATTAAGGCCTATAAGAACCATGAAATGTCTTCTGCAACCGCTGCAAAAGCTTTTGATGTTCCAGAGAGTACAATAAGAAAACATAAATCAAATCCTGTATTAAACATTGGTGGTGATCGTCCAAGGTTTCTCACAGATCATCAAGAAGAATATCTAGCCGTATTGTTTCGACAATTAGAAACGATCGGCGCAAGATTAACAAAAGATATGGTTTTAAAAATTGCTGGTGAATATATGTCATTGGTTAGGCAAGGGCGGCTTGATTAAAACGGTAGGAGTTTTGTTATTGAACAATTGCTTTTCCTAATCTTGCACTTGCATGCTCTGTTAACCAAACTCTAGATATCCCGGGTAGAAAATGGTTTGATAGTTTTATGTAAAGATGGAAAGAATGAATAAAAACTTTGAAAGAACAAAAACTAGACTACGGTCGGAAAACGGTGTTTACCGAAGAAGTTAGACAAGGCTGGTTCAATAAACTTGAAGAAATCTTGACAAGCAACTATCTTCTATCGAGACCAACAGAGATCTGGAATGCAGGTGAAAGCGGATTTAGTGATGAAATCAAATGTAAGGTATGGCACGGAATATCTTTAAAAATATAGATGTTAACAAAAAGAAAGTCTAAAATAAACTTACAATATTGTTCCAAAACGATATGTTTCCAAGGCAAGAATAAGGATAACTACTCTTGCCTGCGGGGTGAAAGATTAGTTTTCTTGATGAGTTCTGCGGTGAAGCATTGAGGTATTTCATTTTTTAGGTGAATTAGTGATTGTATCAATCGAAACAGAATATGCTTTCGAACACTTTACCGGTAGATAGTTTACAACAGCTCTTATATGCTGTAATGCAGCTGATGAAGTAATGCTACCATTCGTAATATACTCCGCGAAAAACTTGAGTCCAACATGGTGTAATGGGACCCTTTAGGAACAACATATAATGTTTCTGAGTCCGGATGGACGAATGAAATCTTATTCACCATATGGTTTGAAACCAGTTTTATTCCATATATGCCAGCGCTCGAACGTCTAATACTTCTTATCATAGATGACCATGCGGCTCATATCAGTATCAAAACAACCGAATTAGCAATCAAATGTCATAAAAAAAAATTAAAGATTTAAAAATTACTGTGCTAGACTGGGCACCGAAGAGTCCTGAATTAAATCCAATTAAAGAAATGCGGAGTATACTAGATCGAAAGTTGGCAGCAAAACCGATATATTCTAAACCCATTTTAAAAGACAGACTACAAATTGAGTGGGATAAACTTTCACAGAAAATTTGTAAAAGTTTAATAGATTCTATGCCGCGGCGAATTGAAAAATGCATTAAAGCAAAAGGTGGCCATTTTTTGTAAACATTTTTTTTTGAATTTTTTTCAATAAATAAAGAAGAACACAAAAAAATGGATAAAAGAAAATCTTTAAATTTTAAATTCTGCTGCGCACAACAAAAAATGACCCTCTTCGGCTGATCCACGCACGCTAGAATTTCTCTCACCATCCCCTCCTGTTCCCAGTATTTTTGTCTTTAAAATAAGACCTTTACGAGCTTTGTAGCTCTTTTCTACCAAAAGTTATAAGCAAAATACTTTTTTACACGAAAAGCGTCGTAGAAAAGCGACATCACTCATATGAAGAGTAAAGTTAGGTCTTTTATATTTTGATATTGCGACGATAAATATGAGTAAAAGTGGTCACATCGTGACAAGAATTTTGTCCTCTATCCGTCGATCGCCTTTAAAAATATTTTAAATTCCATTTTCCCATTGAAATAATTGAAAAACCAAAATTCGTCGGATTTTCCGAAACTTTGTTATTGAAAATTTGATCTAAAAAGTAAACGCTCTGATTATTTTAAATACACAGTCTTGTTCAGTTTTGATCGCTCTTTCCAATGGTATATAAAACTTTGAAATCTGATGAAGTTTGACGGAGACATTTGCTCTAAAAAAATTTCAGACTACATGGATCGGTCTTAAACTTCATGGGTTATCCATTAGTAAAAGTATTTCGTTTCGCAAAGATGATCTTCGACCTCAAAATCTAATTTTCTAAAAGTGCGATTGTCTCCGTCAAACTTGATCAAATTTCGAAATTTTATGCACCATTGGAAAGAGTGTTCAAAACTACTTTTTAGATGAAATTTTTAAATAACAAAGTTGTGAAAAATCCGACGAATTTTAGTTTTTCAAGTATTTCGATGGGAAAATGAAATTTAAAATCTTATTATTGTTATTCTCAGTATACAAAACAATTTCTTATTACCGCACTAAACACTACCTCCCTCATCCGTATAATCGACAGATATTCCATGAAAATAGACTTTTTTCTTCTCTTATATTAAGTCTAAGAAGTTATTTTCTACGTTTTGCTGGATTATTCTCGTTTCGTCCCGTATTCTTTAATTAGCTCTTGTTCGTCCCGTATCTTTTCATCCCACGCTCGTTTCGTCCCGTTTATTATGAATAACCAATTATAAACTGATAAACAGGTATGTATAATTAATTACATGCTTAATTTATACAATTTGTATAAGTGCATACAAATAGTGTTCGAATGTGTGAAAGTAGGTCAAAAACTCGTAAAATATTTTATAAAGTAAAAATGTGTAATAATAATGCAGTATATAATGCTTTATAGTGTATTAGTGCTACACATTGTCACTTTATAAAAACGTTTAATGAGGTTTTGTTCGTTATATAACGTTTTTCACCTATTTTCACACATTCGAACATTATTTGGCGTAACAAATTTTTAACAGTGTCAGCATACTATTCTTAATCCTGGTTCTTTTTGGTTATATTAGCACAGAACATTTTTTCTGTCTATTGAACAAAGGAAGAAAAACAAAGCTCATCCTTGGCTCCTTTGACTACCATGTTCAGAAAGTTGATCAAGAAAGTTCTGTTGGTCATTCCAAATTCGTGAAGTTTTTAAAAGTGAAATTGATACATTTTATAACCTTTGATGTGTGATATTGACAATTCTATATCTTTAAAACTGAAAGGGATCTTTTTCTGAAAATCAGATCAATATACAGTACACCTTGTGTGCCTCACATTAGTATAAAAAGTGGAAAAGAGTCCTCTCTCCTTATTTTAGTTTTAATTCGCGAAGCGGGCAGAATATACAATAAAATCATAGCTAGCACTACCTCTTTTGAACAGAGAATAAACGAACATGTCAATAAAAATATAAAATCTGCCTTTCCTTATTTTGTTCTTTAAAGAGAAATAACGGTCTATATACAAGTCATGCTGTACCACGCAATCAATTATATACTATTCTGAATATACAAAAATCTCAAGATACGCTTTTCTAAAAAATAAATCAAATTTTCATTTAATCCTATTTTCATGCTTCATTTTCACTTTATTTCATTTTCTACATAAAATTAATGTGAATATTCACTGAATTTTGATTTACTGAAAGTTTGATTTATTAGCACAGTTAATGTGCTCTTTGATGTGCAAGAGTTAATAAAAACTAATCTGTTGAAAAAAATGAATAAAATGGAGAAGAAAAGATAAATTTTATATGTTTTCTCTCTTATACAAACATCACAGAGAAGCGCCTTACATTATTCTACAAATGATCTGAATGGTCCTATACTCTCTTCTCACGGTTCTTATCTTTTCTGCGTGGTTGCACTATATTTACAAGCCTTTGTTTTTTTTTTGCTTTCCTTTATTATGAGATGTTTTCTTGGGCATAAAATAAAATTTCAAGTTCAAGTTCAGGTTCGATCCGAATGATTCGTTCATAGTTTTGACGGCTTCCCTTATGTTGTAACGCAAAATATTCCTATACTTGCCAGCATTAACTATACTAGGATGAAAGATGCCCTAATTTAAAGCATCATAAGATTTCATTCAGTTATGATACTTGCATTGGCTGTGAATAGTTCATCCTTTTTGGCTAATTCTTCTTAATTTTTATTCTACAGCAGTGTCAATATGACCGAATGTACATTAATGACGGCGTTCAAGCGCCAACTCTACACGCAACATTTTTACAATCTAGGATATTGAGCTAAACGAGATAAACGCCTCCTTCTTCCAGCTTGGGATCAAAACAATGAAGAAAAAAAGTTTTGACGAATTCAGGTGAGAAATTATAAGATGTCATTGTCACCGAATCGGCAAAAAAATTTGGACAAAAAGCAAGGAAGGAAAAGATGTGGCGATTAATTTCCTTATTCTTCCTTTCAAAAATTATTATAACGAATAGATAAAATTTCTCCTTCCTTATTTCAATTACCTGTCTCTACAAATTAATGAAATAAATATACCAATTAATAAACATAATTAATATTTACTACTAACAAATATTTGCATCATTCTTCTCCTTGTACTACACATATAACTATTTTTGCCCATATTACGAATCTGTTTTGACATATGACGATACAAATCTAATATTTATTTATTATACAGAGCTTTTTAACTTTTGATTTTCTGTTTCAAAAAAGAGTGTCGTGTTAAGCGAAAAATGTCAACAGCAGAACCACAACTACGCGAAAAAAGTCCATTGCTCAGACAAATTAAAGGTGTAGATGGAACAGCATCAGAGATCGGAGTATATAAATCTGCACCAACAATGATAAACTTAAAGTGAGTGTGAGGTAATGCGGTATTCTGCGTTGAAAGATCAATAGTACGTTGTAAAACTTTTGACACAGCAAAACTGCAGGCCCCCTTCGTTCCCTATGTATTTGGTGCATCACTTAGCTTCTGAATTTAATGTATTCTTTCCTTCGTATGTTTAAGAGATATTGATAGCTCGAACGGAAAGATTGATTCAGATCGAGATGAAGAGACTGGCAAGTTCTTTAAAATTATACGTCCATTACTAGTTGAATTGGTACGAGGGAATTTTCTACGTTCGTACCGATTATTTTAAAAAAAGATTTTCTTCATATCAGATTGGTACATGTATCTTTATCCTAACTGGTATGTTTGGAGCATGCCACGATAATGAAAATATACATCCTCTTATCCCAGCATTTGTATTTGGCCTAACACTGATGGCATTTGCAGCCAGTTTTGGACATATTAGGTAATAGGAAATTCATACTACTCTTATTGATGTTTTCATTATTACGTAGTCTGATTTCGTTGTCAGTGGTGTTCATTTTAATCCGGCTGTAACACTTGGCATATTTATTGCCGGACAAATAGGACTAGTTATGGCTATTCTGTACGTCATTATGCAATTTATCGGTGGTAAGCTGAATAACCTAAGGATGTGGTAGTGGCTTGAACGAAACTGACACTGCATCCCAAGTTTTTGTTTTGATCTGCCTATTGCTGTTCACATTCTATTTCTTTCAGGTATTATGGCCGGCGGTCTTCTCAAACTCTTCTTACCTAGCGACCGTTACAGTACTTGTGCTGGCGGGTCCACATTTCTTGGCCCGGCTGTGAAATGGTGGGAAGGCTTACTTATTGAATGTACTGTTACATTTCTCTTAGTAACTGTAATACTAATGGTCGCTGTCGATACTAAGTCGAAGACGAGTGAGTTTTTCAGGTATTGTAGATACCTCGTTCTAAGGTGTAAAACAATAACTTTTTAGTTTTGGCTCCTATAGTCATCGGATTAACATTAACGGGTGGCATCTTGGGAGCAGCTACATTCACTGGTAAGTTCGATTCTCTTTTCTTTCCTTGAACTTCGTCAGGATATAGTGGTTAAATACATAGGCATTTTTTCCACTTTCTAATATAGGTGGTAGTTTAAATCCAGCACGAAGTTTCGGGCCATCGCTGATTGCAAATCAATGGAGAGCACATTATATTTATTTTGGTGGACCACTACTAGGAAGTTTAGTGGCCGGGTTCCTCTACAGGTAATTTTCAATAAATGTAGATTCTGTATTTCTATCACGACATTGTCATAATACAGGTTAGTCTGGGCACACACTGATCGTCGTTATCCAAAACAGAGAAAGCACTGAATGGTTATAACAATATGTATTGACGAACAACTTTTAGGTGGCTAAAGTTCGTTTCTGTAAATACAAACTTTTTCTTGCGTTTAGGTTTATATTTTAACTCAAATTCGTCTGTATTTTAAATAGGCTCTTGTGTGTGGAATACCTTAGTATACTACTCGATGGTCAATTTCGGCTTTAAATTTTTCTGTTTATCCTACTAATGTTTGTCTCCAATAAAATCATCGCAAGGAAGTAAACTACAGACTATGCAAACTCGAGCTTTTATCTATATCTCAAAACACAACAGCCGCTACCAGTTCATAATAAGTGTTAATCAAACATTGCTGCCACGTATAGCGCCTAGTATACACTGTTGCAAATATTACATATTACTTCATCTATATTCCTGTTATCTATCCCTCACTTTCTTCGTTTATCTCGTCCTATTTCTTGCAGTTCGCGCATATTTAAAAATAACTTATAATTTATAAAAAAAGATCGTCGGTTATAGGATTAAAGCGCAAAAAAACGAACAAACCATCAATATTTATTCAACTTATTCACATCTTTGGTAACTGAGCGGGTGTTATTTTGCAGACATAGTTATGAAAAAAATAATTATAAAATAATAATAAATAAATAATAATTTACTTAGGGCATACCAAAAGTAGTGAGGAGGTACTTTATTTTCTTATAGAAAGCTTCAAAAAAATTTCTTTTTCTATGAACAGATAGAGCGTCTTTCGCTCTATTTTTCTATGCTATTTGATCACTATTCCACTAATATTATAATAATAAAATTGCGATAAGATCAGTTTCTTTCGCATATCTGCTGGTAGCATGAACATGAATGTTCGTGAGTATTTTTTGAATAACTTTTGATAGCAACAAGGTAGAGAAGTGCGGTTTTCACCGTTTGAAAGAAGAAATGAAGACGCATCGAACCATATATTACTGATTTTTCTAACCTGCTTTTTGCAAGATTTTTAGTTGACCTTTTAAAGGACAAACCTATCCTGTAAGTTGTTTACAGTGAATTTTCAATAATCAGGCTCAAATTCAAACCGCTAATCGAAGATCTACAAACTGCGAAAGATTCAGATGTTTAAATTTAATTATTTGGGGATACTACGTATTTTAGACGAACCTCTACTACGATTTTCTATCAACTTTTTTGTTTTTGCTTTTTTTCATGAACAAAAATTTTTCCGACGGTT